CTTTTTAAATCTCCTGTGTGGTTCCCGGCCCGGTAAGGCACCTGCGCATCACATTTTCAAGCTGTTTGCAGCAGTAACGTTACAGGTACATATTTATTTTGAGCAGCAAGAAAAAAGGGAATTTAAAGCTGCCCAAATCACTTACAGTCATTTCATTCAACCCCAGACAAACTGGGAAGGGGTAAGAGGAACGGGCAGGGTGCCGGCTGGGAGCAGGCTCCGAGGCATCCTTACCTTTTGCTTTTCTTCCCTTTCAGCCAAGGTATAAAGTCCAGCTCCTCGCAGAGGCGACAGGCTCGCAATAGAAGCCAGCCGGCAGAAAGCCGGGCTATTTGTGAGCTGCCTAAAGCCTTAATTACCGAGCCGCAATTTTAAGACGGCCAATGAAAACCGGTCGCGGGTCTTTAATCTCCTCTCCTCGTTTCTTCTCCACTCCCTGTATTCCTGGCTGGCAAAGCTGCTAATGGGCTGACGGGTGCCGGCACGCGCCCGCCTGGCATTTCGGCAAACAGCAAAACCATCTCCATCTCTGCACTTAACCTCACAGATCACACGGTTCCCCCGTGGTCCTCCTCAAAGGCAGAACATCTCCAGCTGGTGCTCATGCCCACAGACGCCAAGGACGGATGGGCTCGTGGAGAGCATGGACACACGTCGGGCATAAAACCCAGGCGATAAAGCCGCTACGCTCACATTACGCATCCAGCAGTCGCGTGGGGTGAGGCAACCCCTCTAGAAAAATCACTCAAGTCTTGGTTTTAGCCAGGATTTCACCTTCTGCAGACACCGCTCCTCTGCTTGCGGACTGAAGCCTGCGTGGCTGTTGCCTCCAGCCACTGCTGCGCCTCAGCCCAACGATTAGGCAACTTATCCACCACGAAGGTGACAGGGACATTCCTCTCGCCCACGTCGATCCGAACCCAAGCCTCCAAACAGAGCGTCCCAGCACCTCCACAGTGGGACCCTGCCGGGTCTGTGCCATCCTGGTGCTGGAGGTGCCTTTCTGCCTGAAAGAGCATTGGTGGGGCGTCAGGGGAAGACAGAGACGCTCTCCTTTACCTCACTCCCTTTTTTTCCCCAAAAAAGTACTCAGAACTAAAGTGGGAAAAGACACACGGGCTGCGATCACCAGTCTCACTTCTCTGGGAAACGGGCTAAAAATAAACCAAGAGACTTGCAGGTGTTTCCTCTTGCCTCCCTCCACATGTTTCCCTTGTCTTTTGCTGGAGATCTACAGAGGAAAACAAGACGTAATTAAAAGGGGGGCGGGGGGGAGAAGAAAAGCTATTTCCACTGCCAGATGAAGGGGCTGGGCCCTCGTGGGCAGCCAGCGGCAAACACCCGGCTGGCAAAGAGAATCTGTGCAAGGCCAGAGCAAAATCAGCTCCCAGGGAGCGTTTTTGGAAGGCATCCGGCATGGTGAGGGATTTTGGGGGGCAGCTGCTCAGGGACGGAGAGGCGAAGGATGAAGATGTGCGAGGAGGGTGAACAGAAGAGCCCATCTCTGCCTCGAGATGCGCGCAAGCGCAGATGTGGGAGCCCTGTCCTCTGCCATCAGACTCAGTTAAACACGTGCCCTGACCCCAAAAAAACCACTCGTAACGACGAGCCGGTCTGCACGCCGATATTACTGCCCTCCCCGGGCTTCTCTGCTTCCCCAGCCCCATCAAACAACAGCTCCTCTCCCTCCGGCAGCCTGAAGCCCTCAAAAACCACAAGTAAAGCACCAAAAAAGCCTGAGAAACCAGATCTGGTGGATACAGGGCTTTTTGAATCTCCTGTGTGGTTCCCGGCCCGGTAAGGCACCTGAGCACCACATTTTCAAGCTGTTTGCAGCAGTAACGTTACAGGTACATATTTATTTTGAGCAGCAGCTCAATTTTTTTTTTTTTTTTTTTCCCTCCCTTTGCTCAGATTTTGGCATTTTCAGAGCAGCCCAGCTGCAAGCATCCAGCGCAGAGGATCTCTCCCCTCCGCCGGGTTGCTCCTAAAATGGTTTTGCATCCAGCCTAACCACCAGGTATCACCAAAAGCACAGCGGGCTGGAGTCAGCACGGGTATTTAATAAAGATCCCTGTATGTGGGGAGGTGCCGCACCTGGGGCTGAGGACAAACAGCCAGGTTGACCCCACTGGGCTGCCAAAAGATGAGGTGGTCACTGAAGGAGGACGCAGGAGATTGTCACTAGGGCGAGGAACCTTTCTCAGTCTGCTCCCGCCCGCTAAACTCGCCCTGGATATTAACTGGGAGGTCGCAACGCAACCAGTAAAGCAAAGGACAGACATCACAAGAGTTAAACGAAATTAAAGCTGATTAGCAGAGAGGCTTTAAGGAGGAGGTAAAGCCCCCTTACCAAGTAGAAAAGAAGATTAAAGGGCAGTTTCCCTGAAGCCCCAGGAAAGGTCTCCCGGATTAGGATTATAATCCCATTCCCTGTTTTTAGCAGGTTCGTTATGAACCTGCAACTCCCTTTTGGGACACCTTCTGAAAACCCAGCCCCGCTGCAGAAGGACAACAAAGTTTAACGTTATCCGAGAGCTGGCAACTGCCCGGCACACGGATACTGGAGAGGAGCCCTAAGGGTGGGATGTCCCCTCGGCACCGGCTGCCCCCACACCCCACAGCCCCGCGCCA